GTGACAGGTTTATATGATTTTCTTCGTATTTGTATTGTAGCGTTTGGAGTTTGAATGGATTCGGAAAATATGCAAAAGGGTTTTGTGTGTGTGTGTGTGACTATAGGTTTTTTATTGAAGTTATAAGGAGATTGGATCGCTTGACTTCAAACTTGTGTTTCGCCGTGTGATTGAGGTTATCGGAAGCTTAATCCTTATATAGTTATCCTTCCCCTCCCCCATCCCTTCCTAATCCCAAAATCTCCAAATCATTTATCCTCATACTTGCGATGTCTTGTGGGTGTCCGTGGGCGGCGTTGATTGCTTACCATCAGGTATACCGCCTGCTCATTTGCCGACCTAACACATAAAATTAAACTTTATAAGCACCGGAGTAAGGATAGACGCTGCCCATGGGCACCCACAACATCAAAGAAGTTTTTTGGGTAGTTGTTCGTATTTGTTGATTGAGAATTAGGTAGTGGATTGGAGATGGGGGGAAGAGTTGTGTTGGCAGTAACCTTCCTGACTTGTGCCAGGTTTCGAACCCGCGTCCTCATACATGAGTAGCGGACGGCTTAAGCTCCAGGTCACCACAATATTTAACAGAATACAAATATGTATATTAAGGTCCTATCATCATCATCATCAGCCTATAAGTGCCCACTGCTGAGCAAAGGCCTCTTCTCATACGGAGAAGGTTAGAGCATTAATCACCACGCTTGCTCACTGCGGGTTTGCGATTTTAAACTTATAATTAGAAATTATAAGTCCAGGTTTCATCACGATGTTTACCCTCCCGTATGTCAGTGGTGTCAAAATAATCATAGAAAGTACATATAACTCGGAAAAAAAACGCTTTGGTATTTGCCAGGTTTCGAACCCACACCCTCATGCACGAGAAGCGGGCTCCTTAACCTCCGGGCCACCACGTCATTTAAGGTCCTATAACTCACAATATTAGTATCTCTGACTTATCCATTTTGAAAATAATTCCGGAACAAAAACTCAGTTTCTGTGACAAACATTTATGGGTGCTTCTACTACTTCTACTATCTCCAAATAACTCAAATTTGTTAAGCCGGAAAATGTCGGAAGTCCCCTCTCGTTATAACAAGCGTTTCCCAAACATATCGACCCGGCTTAGATCGGTCGGTGATATAACACAGTCAGATATTAAGTATGTTTATAAGTTATGTTTTCTCACTAATAATCAATTGAGTAGTTTTTTAGATCAATACAAAATACTTAAATTATTTTTTTAACTTTTAATAAAAGGATTTTTTAAGATATAACCGTACTTTCGTTCTTTGATTTATTGATATAGGTACCTAATTAATTTTAGATATTTTCTATTTATTATTTTTCTAAATAAGTATCCTGTTTGACGTAAAAACGTTATGACGCCATGTTATGATCTCAGACTAATGTATCGTTTTTGAAATTTCAATAAAAATAGTCAATTTTTTATTGAAATTTTAAGTTGGAAACTATGGAATTATTTATGTTTAACTATCTTCATGCTTGCAACTTCGTCCGCAAACTTTATTAAATTAATAACAGTTGAAGAGAATCTTTCCCTTGAATCATGCCAACTATGAAAAATCTCGATTATGTACATTTAAACATTTGTTTTTGTTTTTTTTTTAATCTAAGCTTCTTGCTGTCGGCGACGGACAAATTATAGTTCTGTCGTTTTCCCTTTAGTATTATGATAAATAGTAGCTTACGTGTTTATTCTACACAACAATCAATCTCTGTGTCAAATTTTATTCAGATCCGTTTTCTTGTTTCATCCTAAAGAGTAGCAAATATCCTACTAAGAGCTACTTTTTCAATAGTTAGATAAAAGTTGCCTCGGGAATTATTATGATGCTGTCGCGTCAGAATGTTTGTATAAGACAGGGACAGCAACAACTTTATTCCTTAGATAATATTTGTCTGACTATTGAAAAATCAGCCCTAATACTAACAAACTAACCGTTTATAATATTAGCAAGCTTTTTCACATTAACATTGTGTTACTGTGTATTGTTTGAAACTAAATATTTGGTCACCTACCTAAGGGGTCACGAGTAGGCTTTGAAAAAAATATGGGTTTCTGGCAGGTCAAACTTTGGGAAACACTGCCCTGTAATGGCGTTAGAAGGGGGATTTTACTTAAACTTGTAAGTAATCGGTATTATATTATGTGCCATTCCTGCATGTTTTCGTTGAATTTTTACCCTACTTTGAGGGAAAATACTTATTCTTGTTGTTGTGACACCCGCATACAAGTACCAAGCAAGTGTGTTTTTGGGTAAAGCAAAGTATTATTGGAGTTTTTCTGTTTGTCACTTTTGTCCAATTGAAACTGTAGAATTAATGTTCTTATGCAATATGACGGATCTTTATGAAATTCAAGTGTGGGAGAGCCAAGCTTCGGCACGAATGGGCTGGCTCGACCAGAGTTATAACTACGGCCTCACAGAAAACTAGCGTGAAGCAATATTTATGTTGTGTTTCGCCGTGTGAGTGAGGTTACAGGAGGCCCAACTTTCTCCTCTCCAATACCAAAATCGCTCACATCCCTAATGCCCAAAAGGTCGGCAACGCACTCGCAACTCCTCCGTTGTTGCGGGTGTCCATGGGCGGCGCTGATTGCTTACCATCCGTTCGTAATATGTCTGATTGTTTGCCGACATATCACATGAAAATATTGATGTTTTTGCAGATGGATGGAAGGAAATTTTATTAGAATACTGCCACAGAAACTGACGAATGTTGTTAATTTATATTTTTCTTGTTCTTTTTCTTGTTATTGTAATTGGATCTTGTAGGAATTATTGAATAAAGCAATATTAACTTTAAATATTGTGTAATTTATTTCTTAAAGCGTAAGTGTTACAAACATGTGTCAAAAAGTGAAAAAAAAAACAAAAGAAGTTAGAACGCCTCACAGCGGCAAAAATGCGAACTACTTATTTGATTGCGTTCCATTTCTAACTGATCTTATCAATTGTTTTTTTTTGCAGTTTTATTTAAGTTAGAACAGCGGCAGTGAAGTTTAATACCGTCAGCTTATACCGATCATCATGAAATTATGTTACAGAACAAAATCTCAAACGTAAGCAACTCGTCACTTTGATCCCCTTACTGGCCATGGTTACGTTGGCAAACGACTTTGAACTCAACTCACTTATATCACGGTTTTATAGTCACTTTATGAACTTAAGTAAAGCTAAAGTACTTAGCAAGGTAAATAAGGTTCAATTTGCTTTGAAAGCTGCAACGTAACGACTTTGTATTCAATTTCTGTTTATTTTGAAAGGTTTTTGCTTAGGTGGAGTTTACTATTAAGCTTTGAAGGGGTAAGTAGAAGTATTTTTTATTTTTTTTACGTCATCATCATCATCATCAGCCTATAAGTGCCCACTGCTGACGGAGTGATAACACGGCATCACAGAAAACCGGTGTTTATCCGTTTAAGTTAGGTTACCGGAGGCCCAATCCTTTCTCTCCTCCGACCCCTCCCCAAACCCTTATCCCCAAAAGGTCGGCAATGCATTCGTAACTCCTCCGTTCTTGTAAGTGTCCATGGGCGGCGCTGATTAAAAAAACATATGTCTTTTTAAAGCTTAATAAGTACATACAATTTTAAAACTCTTTTCTAATGAAGTCTGTTGCAGACTTGCAACAAAATAAGAGTCTAACGGCTTAGTTAAGCAATTTTCAAGGCGCCCAGCTTTTAATGTAGGCTGTAACTCACAGGATAGACCTCACGAACTCATAACACTAACTTAGGATCTAGACACGTGTTTGTGCCATGCGAATTTAGACCTTATAGTCGACTGGATGACTTGGCGAAATTTGTACTGAATTTTATATGACATAAGATTAAAAATGTATCTGCGAAACGGAATTGAATAGGTAAAACCTTCTTTTGTGGTATTCATTATTATAAACACGGAAAAGAAACTTAAAAAAAAATGTCGGAGTCTTCCCATCAATCATCGACCGGAGTGATACCACGGCCTCACAGAATACCGGCGTGAAATAACCACAGCGTTGTGTTGCGCCGTGTGAGTGCGGTTACCGGATGCCCAATCCTTCCCCTCCCCCAATCCCTAAATCTCCAAATTCCCTAATCCCCATAAGGTTGGCAACATGCTCGTAGCTTCTCTGTTACGAGTGTCCATGGGCGGCGCTGATTGCTTACCATCAGGTAATCCGTCGGCTCGTTTGCCAGTCTATTACATAAAAAAATCAAAGGCCCGGATGGGTCTGTAGTATAAGCCGGACATACATATAATAATGATTTTATCATTTATCGAAGTGAATTGAAACAATAAGTGTAATTACTACAACCTTGATCTTGGTGAAATGCTGAAGAAGGATTATTTTATCGCGAAAAATTGTAGTAAACTTTTCAGTTTTGGAAATTAGGAATTATTATACTAGCGATCCGCCCGCTTCAAAATGGTGCAATGCTAAAAGTTTCTCCACTATTTAATAGATGTTACTATACATATTAAACCTTTCTCATTTATCACTCTATCTATAAAAATCAACATCAAATATGTTGTGAAAAATTTTTAACTGTCTCTCTCTACAGAGACACGGTTTGAAACATAACATACATTTTCCAATCGTTTGCAGTCTGAAAGAAACATGTTTCTGCCCCTTTATCATAGGGACATAGGGATAGAAATAGAGACAAAAAGCGACTTTATTTTGTACTATGTCGTGTTGAGACATTATTACATGTCCACCTGCCTCCAAATATAAGTTAATAAAAGTACCTTTATTATACATTTCCAATTTAAATTAGTATAATAATTATACACCTAAAAGAAAATTGTTTTAGTTACACTAACTCAAGAACGGCTGAACCAATTTAGTTGAAAATTGATAGAAATATAGTTTACAACCAGAAGAAGATAGGATAGTGTAATAAGGTAGGTTTTTTTTGTATGGGGAAAATCATCAAATGACTTCTCCGGCCCAGGGTAGGGCAGGAGGGAGTGTCAGACTCTTACTGACTAAACTCCCCGCCCCCGTTCCTTCTCCTGTTTTAGGCCGAGACTCATTGCTCTTGCACCGCAGCCCTGGCTGAACATTTGCTCTAAAGGACCCCGTCTGTGGGGCTCTTTCCTTACGCCGCCCTCTTCTTTACAACGATAAACTGCTTTGCAGAAAGAAGAGACTGCTTCCCAGTTCCTCTCCCTCCACACCATGGCCTCGACTAAGGCTAGGCGCGAGATTAGGGAGGGTAGAGCAGGTAGTGTAGACACCGCCACCGAGATTAGGGAGGGTAGAGTAGGTAGTGTAGGATAGGTAGTGTAGTGAAGATAGTGTAGGTAGGGGAAATGTAGGTTGTCAAAAATGGGAGCAAAGCAGCAAGTAAAATCTAGAAAAAGGTAGAAAAAACTCAGTAATATTGTGTCACCTAGTATCCACCTGCCTACTTTATAAGCCAAGGTTAATATGCAAGGGGGCATCTGGCAACATTCTCACGAAGTAACAACTTAGTGAGCTTTTGTTGATTAATATTTTATTGTTTTACGTAGGTACTTGAAAATGACTAGAACATTGACCAATGTTTCTATAGAGCCATGTAATACTAACTACTACACAGATTTTTTCCTGAAACTAGTGACAATATAGCTGTTGATATGTGCTTTAAATTCACAAAATACTAATAAGTATTCTCAAGTGTGAGAGACCACGCGCGCCTCACAGACCCAATAGACCACCACAGACGGGGCCCTTTAGGGCTGATGTTCAGCCGGGGTTGCGGGGTAAGCGCAATGCTCGACGTCGTCCTAGAGCAGGAGAAGGAACAGGGGGATCTTTAGTTAGTAAGAGTCTGACACTCCCTCCCACCCTTTTAGATTTTCCCCTCACAAAAACAGAAAAGTATGAGTCCCATGCTTCTCCACGAATGGACCGGCAAGACCTGAAAAAGAACAAGGCTTTACAGGAAACCAGTGTGATAAAACCACAGTGTTGTGTTTTACAATATGAGTCAAGTTATTACAGGAGGCAAAACTTCTTTTTCCGAAATCTAATCCCCAAATCTCAAAATATCAACACTAAAATCACATATCAACGCCCAAAACATCGGCTAACCATTTCTAATTCTTCTGGTATGGCTATTTGTATTCATGGCGATCCGTCTACTTACTACACAATCCAAGAAGAAAAAGTTAATCTTTGTCAACCCTGAAAAAAGCCAGTCACGGTTCTAATTCTAAAACAGCGTCCCTAACATTCCACTAGGAAGGGATCCCGTACCAAGGGTTCACCAATGATTTGTGAAATTCACGAGGTCCACGCCCTATCTACTTACATTCTACTTTGAGAATGTCTCGGAATATATTTGTCATTTTCATCTGCTCATTGTGTTTTCGTATGATTCCAAGATCGATGGTTGTTTTTTAAGGGAAAATAATCATCTAAGCACTTCAAGTGTGAGTAAGCCATGTTTCGACACGAATGGACCGGAGTGATACCACGTAGTGGTACTACGGCTGCACAGAAAACCGACGTGAAACAACCACAGCGTTGTGTTTCGCCGTGTGAGTGGGGTTACTGGAGTTACAATACTTCCTCTCCACCAATCCCTAAATCTCCAAATCCCTAATTCCCAAAAGTTGGCAACGCACTCGTAAATATTTTATTGTTGCGAGTGTCATGGGCGGCTCTGAATGCTTACCATCAGTTAATGCGTCAGCCTCTTTGCCTTACTATCCCATTAAAGTGGGGTGGGAGTGTCAGTCGCTTCGCCTGCTTTGGGTCCACCGTTGGAACTTCTTTTAGCCCCATCTACGACGGGAGAAGACATATTGTTACGAGCCTGACGTCACGTTCCTGACTATGCGGGCTTGGGTTACGGGATTGGATGAAATGAAACACTAATACCGGTTTTCAGACTTTCTATTGCACCTAAGTTACAGCGTCCACGGAGTTAAGTTATCGGCGTTCCTCTCCATCAGAGTCCGGCCGACTGACACAACTTTGCTGTTCACGCTGACTTAACTCACTTAACTGACTGCACTTCACTATTTCACTGCACTTCACTATTTTACTCACTTTTCTTCTTTTCCACTTCTTCCTTTTCTTCCGAATCGCTTTAGACTTAGAACTCAACTGCCAGCGGTGAGCCGCAGTTCCGCTTATATACCCCCGGTTCAGGTTCTGGAACATTCAATTTCGTTATTCTTTTTGATCGTCATGACTCCAGAACCTTCCAATAATTTCGTTACTCATTTTTATTTATTCTCCTTCTCGCTCTTTAATTTTTCATTTCTTTCACACAATTCCAGAAAGTTCCACAAAACTTCTATCAACTAAAAAACTTCATGTTTACGGCGGGACTTGAACTCGGGGTCTCTGTGGTGTAATCCACACGCCTTACCGATTACACCAACTCGTGTTGACAATTCACGACGAAATTTACAATCTCTAGGCAACGTTTCACAACCATCCATTGACGTCATGGTTTCAAAGAGTTTGAACCACTTTTCCGTCACAATATTATAGTTTTCCACCATCAACATTCACAGCAAACATTCCCTATTTTTCTTAGTATATTTTTAACCGGATTATCCCAAATGCTAAACACGGGAAAGCTCTTTGCTCGTAGTGCCTGGACTGAGCATTAAATTAGTATCAACTGGAGCTTGTCCTAAGAGGCTTTATGTCTGAAAGACAGTTCTGAAACAAGCTTCAGATAAGTGAATTATTAAGCGTACAGATTGTGGATTGAAATAACTTTAGTTTATAACGGAATTGCTTTCGCGACTAGTTTTCTTTTGTGCATGTGTTAATTCAAACTATAATCTATCTCTGTGCCAAATTTCAATCAAATCCGTTCAGTAGTTTTTACGTTTTTACGTTTCAAAGAGTTTGAACCACTTTTCCGTCACACTGCCCCCCTCTTAGATTCGCTCGTCCCGAGCATCGTTGCTGCCGTAATACCTCGCCAACCTGTCTATATGGACAACTTTCAAAGGGCTCCTTGAAGTCTTCCGAATTCTGTAAGTAATGTCATTGATCTTCGTGACTATCTCATAAGGACCTTCCCAACTCGGTTGCAGCTTCAGAGATTTGCCCTTTCTTCTGACTGGATTATGAAGCCAGACCAATGACCCCTCTTCAAACCCAACAGAATTGGCTCGTCGATCATAGCGCGTCTTTGCGCGATCACTAGCTTGAAGACCGGCCTCTCTGATCTGCTCGTAAATGTCCAACATTTTTGCCCTTAACTCGCTTATGTAATCGCTAAACTCAGTGCGAGTGTCGCCAGGTGGACAGCCCGATACAAGATCTGCCGGTAATCTCAATTCCCTTCCAAAATTTGCAAATGCAGGCGTCTTTGTGGTACTTTCATGTACAGCAGTCCGATAGGCAAGCAAGAAGAGAGGTATGTAAGTATCCCAATCTCTCTGATGGCTGTCAACCACCTTTGCTAAGTGTCGCTCCAATGTTTGGTTGAAACGTTCGACCATTCCATCTGACTGTGGATGATAAGGGGTCGTTCGAGTCTTATGGATTCCCAAAAGTTTACAAGTTTCCTGAAAAACTTGGGATTCAAAGTTCCGTCCTTGATCACTGTGCATCTCCAAGGGCACTCCGAATCGGGTGAATACCTCGTTTACCAACTTCGTGGCTACAGTTACTGCCTCTTGATTCGGTATGGCAAAGACCTCCGGCCATTTTGTAAAATAATCCATAACCACTAAAACGTAGCGATTGCCCGAATCAGTGATTGGAAATGGTCCAGCGATGTCTAAGGCTATTCTCTCCCAAGGCATACCAACATTGTAGATTTTCATCGCCCCTCTGCTTCTTGTTTGTGGACCCTTGACAGCTGCACAATTAGTGCATTTCCGGCACCAATCTTCGACGTCATATTTGCAATGCAGCCAATAAAACCTCTCCTTGATCTTCACCAAAGTCCTCCTAATTCCCAAATGTCCTCCAGAAGATCCATCATGGAACGCTTTTAATACATCCCTTATTTTTGAACGAGGCACCACCAATTGCAAATGCTCGTCCTTGCCGTTTGTTGATTCCCATTTCCTGCACAGAAGTCCATTATGCAGCGTAAGGCTTTTCCACTGTGCCCATAAACCTTTCGTTACCGCGCTATATTGGGCGACGTCACTCCAACTTGGCTTGTTACCACTTCGTAGCCACTCCAGTATTGGTTTAATATCTGCATCTCTTTCCTGTTCTAATTTCATCGCATCATCTCCCCATGCCTCGTCAACAGTATCAGTCCTTATCACCTTAAGAAAAGCAGTTTCCTTCTTGGCACAATGCTTGCAATCTTCCACGCATGGGCGTCTCGATAATGCATCTGCGTTGCCATGAATTCTTCCGCCGCGATGTTCGATTTCAAAGTCAAATTCCTGAAGTTGTTCCAACCATCTGGCTACTTGGCCTTCGGGATCCTTAAACTGAAGCAGCCATTTCAAAGCAGCGTGATCAGTTCTGATCAAAAATTTCCGTCCCAGTAAATACTTCTTGAAATGGTGCAGAGTTTTGACTACGGCCAGCAATTCCCTCTTGGTCACGCAATAATTCCTCTCCGGCTTGGATAGTGACTTGCTGAAGTAAGCAATAACCTTCTCCTGCTCACCATCGCGTTGTGAAAGGACACCTCCTATTCCAATATTGCTGGCATCCTTCGCGCTGGGGTATCCGAGAATTGGTGTGTTACAAAACCGTTCTTTTAGTTCTCGAAAGGCTTGCTCACAATCCTCGTCCCAGATAAAGGCACGTTTCTCCTCTGTCAATCGATGCAAAGGCTTGGCAATGACCGAGAATCCTTTCACAAACCGCCGATAATACGAGCACAATCCAAGAAATGCCCGAACTTGCGTTTTGTCTTTAGGTGTTGGCCATTCCTTAACAGCGACAGTCTTGGCTGGATCAGTCTCAATTCCTCTCTCAGAAATAACATGTCCTAGATAATTCACTTCGCGCTTGAAGAAAGAGCATTTCTTTGGACTCAACTTTAAATTTGCTCCACGCAGCTTGTCGAGTACCTTTTCCAATTTCCTTAGATGATCGTCAAAATCCCGTCCAACAATGATGATGTCATCGAGGTAAACTAGGCAGGTTTCGCCCAGCAGTCCCGCCAGCACCTGTTCCATCAAACGCTCAAAGGTTGCCGGTGCATTGCATAATCCAAATGGCATCACCTTAAATTGCCAGAGTCCCTTCCCAGTTGAGAATGCGGTCTTTTCCTTGTCCTTGGGATCCAAATCCACCTGCCAATAGCCGCTTTTCAGATCGAGCGTTGAAAACCATTTCATGCCACTCAGTGTGTCAAGTGTGTCATCGATTCTTGGTAACGGGTAGCTATCCTTCTTGGTTACATCATTCAATCGTCGATAGTCTACGCAAAACCTCGTTGAACCATCTTTCTTCTTGACAAGCACGACAGGTGAACACCAAGGGCTAGAAGAGGGCTCTATCACGTCATTTTTCCTCATATCGTCAATCATTTCTTCAACCTCTTTCTCACGAGCAAATGGTATGCGTCTGGGCCTTTGACGAATTGGCATTGTATCACCTGTGTTTATTTTATGCTTCACCAAACCAGTTCGGCCAATATCACCATCGCTTCTTGAAAACACATCAGAGAATCGAAGAAGTAAATTTCTAGCTTTCATAGTCTCCACTTTTGTCAGACTTTTGTTTTCGTCTAAGATTTTCGTTACAAAGTCAATTCCCGTACTGTCCTTCTTCACAAGATTCTCCGAGCATTTTCTTATCCAGGCCACTTCTTCCAATACGCCCACAGGCTCTCCTTCTTCAATCGTAATTTTTGAATCACTGAAGTTGAATACCGGAATGTGGTTGACATCAGATGACCCCACGACAGTTCTTGCCGGTAGCCATGAGCTTACGTGTTCCGATTTATCAATCACAGCGCACCTTCGAGGTAAACTTCCTTCCTTCCTCCTAGGTAATGCGATTGGTACGAGAGTCTGTGATTTTGGTGCAAGAACAGTTCTTCTTAAACAGCAAACTTTTCCCAGGGTTCCACCCTTCATCGGAATTTCCTCAGTTCCACATAATAAAACTCCAGATTTTAAGTTGATGTTACACTGGTGCCCTTGCAGGAAGTCAAGTCCCAGGATGCAGTCATCCAGAATTTTGGCCACAATAACCTCATGTCGATAAACACGTTCCCAATTTTGATTGTTACATGCAGTTTTCCACTTATCGGTATGCACTGGCCGGTAGCTGATTTCATTTGTAGGCCAACAATTGGTTTAAGGTGTTTCCTGATGTTTTGCTCGAGCAGCCGAACATTTATCACCGTCCTTGAAGCTCCAGTATCTAATGTTAGCTGACTGTTTTTCCCATTTACTTGACCGTCTATCACCAGAGTATTTCCATCGTTGGTTTGCTTGATGTAGATTGTTGGGGTTGTTCCACTACCAGCCAGCGCCCACCCCGCAGCCCTGGCTGGATTTAAGTTTCCCTGCTGGTCAGAAGTTGAGACCGCCGCGTCCTTGCGGTTCATCTTCTTCGGGCAGTCGCTCCGTATGTGCCCACGCTCTCCACATCCATAGCACATGAAGTTCCGACGGCGTGGAGGTACCTGCTCCGTTGTCGTCATTTCCCGCAGACGTAAGGTACGGGAGTTGCCACGCACGGCTTCCACTTCCAATGCATGGGCCAGAGCTTCTTTCATGTTCTTGTGATGGCCCAGATGAACAGCAGCTCGTACTTCGGGGTCCCGAATACCGTCAATGAACGCTTGGAGAAGCGTGCCTTCAAACATTGACGGAGTCGACCGGAAAGCTCGACGCACAAGTTTCTCGATTTCCACGGACCATTGCTGTAGACTCTCATTAGCACGCTGAGTACGCTCTTTTAATTGCGCTCTGTACAAGTGTTTGAGGTGGCTGTCTCCAAAACGTGCCTCAAGTGCGTCGAGGAGGGCACTAAAGCTGAGATCCCCACTTGCGCCGATAGCTTCCAGCACTGAGAGCGCTTGATCACGGAGGGCCAGGGTGAGGGCTGACTGTGCTTCCTTCTGAGTCCAACCATAAGCCTCCATAAGTGTCTCAAACTGTAGCTTGAACGCGTTCCAGGATGTTGTTCCGTCGTAATGGGGAATCTTGAGCCCTTTCGTTGCGGTTGAGGCCACATTTGGGGCGTCAAAAACGGCTGCAAGACGGCTTCGGCTCTTCAAAGGGCTTGGGCTTGCCACTTCCTGCTTGATTTTGGGGATCTCTTCTTCCACTCTCTCCTCTATGGCCATGACGCGATGTTCCAACTTGCCTAACCCTTCCTCCACTTCTTGTACCCGTTCGACAGCCTTTTGCAGTCCCTTCGTGAAATCCTTATGCATCTCTTCCAAGCGACGCGCTTGCTCCTCTTGGCGACGAGCTTGATCTTCTTTCAGCTCCCGCAGCTGTTCTGCCTGACAGCGTGCTTGCTCCTCTTGGCGACGAGCTTGCTCCTCTTGACGACGAGCTTGATCTTCTTTCAGCTCCCGCAGCTGTTCTGCCTGACAGCGTGCTTGCTCTTCTTGGCGGCGCGCTTGCTCTTCTTGGCGGCGCGCTTGCTCTTCTTGGCGGCGCGCTTGATCTTCTTTCAGCTCCCGCAGCTGTTCTGCCTGACAGCGTGCTTGCTGTTCTAGGCGGCGCGCTTGCTCTGCCATCATTTGCTGCAGCTGTAGCAGAAGATCCACCTGCACAGGCTTGGCTTCTGCAACGCTGGTTTGCGCTGCAGCACCCTCTTCCCTCACACGCTGCGCTTCTGACATTGCACGGGTACTCACTCCTCTTACGTCCTGCGGCACTAGCGGCATTTTTCTCCAATCCCACTTCTGACACCAAATGTTACGAGCCTGACGTCACGTTCCTGACTATGCGGGCTTGGGTTACGGGATTGGATGAAATGAAACACTAATACCGGTTTTCAGACTTTCTATTGCACCTAACTTACAGCGTCCACGGAGTTAAGTTATCGGCGTTCCTCTCCATCAGAGTCCGGCCGACTGACACAACTTTGCTGTTCACGCTGACTTAACTCACTTAACTGACTGCACTTCACTATTTCACTCACTTTTCTTCTTTTCCACTTCTTCCTTTTCTTCCGAATCGCTTTAGACTTAGAACTCAACTGCCAGCGGTGAGCCGCAGTTCCGCTTATATACCCCCGGTTCAGGTTCTGGAACATCAATTTCGTTATTCTTTTTGATCGTCATGACTCCAGAACCTTCCAATAATTTCGTTACTCATTTTTATTTATTCTCCTTCTCGCTCTTTAATTTTTCATTTCTTTCACATAAATAATTCCAGAAAGTTCCACAAAACTTCTATCAACTAAAAAACTTCATGTTTACGGCGGGACTCGAACTCGGGGTCTCTGTGGTGTAATCCACACGCCTTACCGATTACACCAACTCGTGTTGACAATTCACGACGAAATTTACAATCTCTAGGCAACGTTTCACAACCATCCATTGACGTCATGGTTTCAAAGAGTTTGAACCACTTTTCCGTCACAATATTATAGTTTTCCACCATCAACATTCACAGCAAACATTCCCTATTTTTCCTAGTATATTTTTAACCGGATTATCCCAAATGCTAAACACGGGAAAGCTCTTTGCTCGTAGTGCCTGGACTGAGCATTAAATTAGTATCAACTGGAGCTTGTCCTAAGAGGCTTTATGTCTGAAAGACAGTTCTGAAACAAGCTTCAGATAAGTGAATTATTAAGCGTACAGATTGTGGATTGAAATAACTTTAGTTTATAAAGGAATTGCTTTCGCGACTAGTTTTCTTTTGTGCATGTGTTAATTCAAACTATAATCTATCTCTGTGCCAAATTTCAATCAAATCCGTTCAGTAGTTTTTACGTAAGAGAGTAGAAAACATTCACCAATACTTACTTCTTCTATAAAAAAAAACCAAATTGTTATTTGAATAATTATTTGAAGTGTGGTAGAGCCAAGTTTCGGCACGAAGGTCGACTCGACCGGAGTTGAACCACGGCCAGAAAACCGGCGTGAAACAACCACAGCGTTATTTCACCGTGTGAGTGAAGTTACCGGAGGCCCAATACCCCATCCCTTCCTTATCCTTTCCCTAAAAGGCCGGAAACGCATTCGTAACTTTTTTGGTGTTGCGGGTGTCTATGGGAGGCTCTAATTGCTTACCATCAGGTAATCCGTCTGCTCGTTTGCCGATCTATTCCATAAAAAGAAGAACCAAACAATTGCAATTTAGTCAGAACGAACAACAACGTACATAACCAATAGCTTAAAAAGAAATTATTTAAAATTCAAATCATTGTTCTAGAAAGAACAATCGATAAACTGTTACTACTCGTATTGCACTTACAAGGCGGTAAATAAATAAATAAATAAATAATTAGGTAATTGTACGATTCTGTGGGTCCGTCTAGGGATGTCTCAAGATGGTTGGCCGTGTGCTACATAGCCACATATTTTATTCAGGGTTGCCATAGCATCAAATGTATGTATAACAGCGAAGCTATATATAGATAATGTAGAGTTATGCACGCAATAATGGTTCGTCAATAATCATTAAAAAATATATTATAACTTCTTCGATAAAGCTGTATGACGGTTACGGCAGAATTGTTTTTATTTTTTTTATTTTGCAATTGTGAGGAGTACAGTTTGTATTATTTAATATAACCAACGCATAAGGTAAAGGCTGCATTACGGATTTTTCTCGAACGCGCTGTTTTTAAGCAGTAGGTAACCGTCCCACTCTGTCTCTCCGTTTTCTCTAGCCTAGCCTTCGGCCAGAGGGAGTATCTGTATCAAATAAGGTAATAATAACTCTGAATAAGGAACCATGGCCACGGCTTTTAGTCAATATGAGTCTGGCACTCACTTTGGCCACAATCTGGACGAATGAATTCGAGAGAAGTAATTTGATGAATTTTTCCCGACAAAAAACGAACTTTACGGAAGAAAAGTTAAATGAAAATATTATTTTTTTGTTGAACAACTTACCTACACGGTGGAAAACAAAAAAGCTCAGTCACTTCGAGGTTAAATTCAGAATCATTCTAAACAAAGATAAGGCTATTTATAGAAACCACGTGTCCACAAAAACATGGAATATCAACCCGTGTTTTGGCTTTGTACGCGCAAAAACATCAATACTTTACTTTGCAGCCATTATGTAAATTAAATTACAGATATTTATCCTTATTTTTCACTTTATGGGCTATAAAAATAATATTTAATATGATATTAGTCATCGAATTCTGCGAGACGCTCCCGGTTAGACAGGAGGAGACTAGTCGGTCTCGCACCCTTGCTCGGTACAGTCGCGTCCCTTCGTCGCAAATAATCCCGCGCTTTATTCTCTGTGCTAGTGTCATTTTTGAATTTAGAATCTTTTGTGAGCGTGTTGTGTGTGTGACATTTGGATTTTTTCTACGCACAATTATCCCGGTATACCACCTTTTTTGTAAGTAACCCTCTTTTTTATATATTTTTCTCTGTCTGGCTTTATTTGACGGCGAATCGATTGTAAGGGCTTAATGCCTCGAAAGTTGAATGGGAAAATGTGTTTTTTGTAGAAAACATGAATGAAAAGTTCATTTTTCTTTTATGGAATATAAATGTTTCGATTATTAAGACATTATTCTGATTTTTCACGCTTCGTATTGGTTCCATTTCAATCATGACTGTATTCATTTATTTTTGCAACATTTACAAAACAAATGGCTGTCTCCGACCTTTGTGTTTAAATAATGAGGTTTTATCACGGTATATCCATTTCATTTTGTTAATTTCTGTAGGAGGGTAAGCCTATTACTAGTTAGCTAAATATTTCGAAGGTAGGGCTCGGTAAATAATGTACTCATGTTCTATTTTCAGACAGGACTATTTTTAGCTAACAGTGTTTTGGGCTAACTTGGCAACCTAAGTTTTTGTGATTATTGAAGTGTCAGCTAATTTATGATTCTTATGAGGTAAACGTGCTTATATTTCGATATTCGAATTTGGAAAGCGGCTTATTGAAAAAAAAGAGAACTTTTTTTTTATTTACGTAATATATTTCTTTTTTTTTTAATTTAAATAAAGAACACAAGAACGTTCTTTGCGAAAAAATAAATTATTTTTTTCTGTAGATGTAATTTTCCGAATTAAATATGTCCACATTTAGTGTCCATATTACATTCATTAAAATGCTTTTTGAATGAAAATACAATATTCCTATTAACTAATTACTTTGCAGGCTATTTTGGCATATCAGACGATAAAAATCAGATAGGTCGACTGTTTGTCTAGACTTGCAGCGGTCAGTGACCCATCTCTGGCGTGCTGTGGACTTTTATCCCTGTATTGTAACGATTTCGACCCCTTTTCAACCGACTACATGTTGGCAAAAGAACCAATCACGTTCTGCCATTAAAACAATATGATTTATTGCATTCTCTAGGTGTACAAACTAGAAATTGGGAATTTTCCACGAACACGAATAAATTTCTCCAAGATTTAAATACATTGTACTTCATTGATGAATTTGACGATTGGATTGATTGCCAAGTGTGGGAGAGTCGTGCTTTGGCATAAATGCACGGTCTCACAGAAAACCGGCTTAAAACAACCACGAAAATTGATTTTGATAACCAATCATCAATCCAAAATACTAAAAATGCCAATTGCCAATGCTTAGCCAGGGCCACGGGTCACGCGCAATAAGCTACCGCGGCCTCAGCTTGAAGCAGGAGAAGAAACGGGGTTTTTTTTTTCAGTTACAGTCTGTTACTAATCATGGATGATTTCATAATCATCATCATCAGCCTATAGGTGCCCACTGCTGAGCAAAGGCATCTTCTTACACGGAGAAGGTTAGAGCATTAATCACCACGCTTACTCAATAAGGATTGGCGATTTCAAACTTATTATTAGAAATTATAAGTCCAGGTTCCCTCACGATGTTTACCTTTACCGTATGTCAGTGGTGTCTAAATAATTATAGTAAGTACATTTAACTCGGAAAAAGTCACATTTATGTTTGCCAGGTTTCGAACCCACAACCTCATGCATGAGAAGCAGGCTCCTTAGCCCGCTTCTCATGCTTGAGGGTGTATACCTCTGGGCCACCACCACATTGGATGATTTGCCTTCCCCAAAAAAGGGTTTTCTCATGATATTTTTCCATCATCCTGTATTAGTTATTTCTTAATAAATTAAGAAAGTATGTATATGAAAAGCGAACACCGTGACCTCTAGAGACCATTGACGGCTAATGATGAATAAAATGAAGAACTAAGTTTTGCTTAAAGTACACTGAATTACATACCTACCTACACATACAAGTAGCTTCACTTAGAGGACTCACCGACAGACTGGCTCTTTTTATCTTTAAGCTTTGTTTGACCTTCAAGTGTCTGTAGAGGTTTAATTGAAATAAACTATTTTGACTTTGACTTTAACTACATTATTTCATTACATTACCTCTCTGAATAATAACTCAAGAACAGCAAAATCAACTCTATCTGTTTAAAAATAAAGTATAAAAACGTATTTTCATGTCTAGCCAGACCCAATCCAATCAGGCTACGGCCGTAAATCCAAACAACACTGGCATTAAACAAATGATATATGTTCTGTGCATAGAGTATTCACAGACAAATAAACTCTGTTATGCTGACCGTAGACATTTCTCTAGTCTATGCCTTTTGGCGGCGGTATTTTATATCCTGTGGCACCTACCACAGATAATTTCGATCCGACGTTTAATCAGGATTGCGATCTCGACGTGAATTCTAAATCAAGATGGCGATGGGGTTTGAAATTAAATCATTCGG